TTTCGTTTTTTTTCATTTTTGGGCGAAAAATTAAGTTTCTCCAATCTTCTCAAAACTCTGGATTATGATAGAGGGCTGTGAGACTTTGACCTGAGTGCAAAAATGGAGGCTCTAGACCCTTCCAGAGCTGAGATATCAAATTCAAAATTTCGACCCGAAAAAAAAACGACAGTGTTACCCCTTTCGTTTTTTTTCATTTTGGGCGAAAAATTAAGTTTCTCCAATCTTCTCAAAACTCTGGATTATGATAGAGGGCTGTGAGACTTTGACCTGAGTGCAAAAATGGAGGCTCTAGACCCTTCCAGAGCTGAGATATCAAATTCAAAATTTCGACCCGAAAAAAAAACGACAGTGTTACCCCTTTCGTTTTTTTTTTTTTGGGCGAAAAATTAAGTTTCTCCAATCTTCTCAAAACTCTGGATTATGATAGAGGGCTGTGAGACTTTGACCTGAGTGCAAAAATGGAGGCTCTAGACCCTTCCAGAGCTGAGATATCAAAATTCAAAATTTCGACCCGAAAAAAAAACGACAGTGTTACCCCTTTCGTTTTTTTTCATTTTTGGGCGAAAAATTAAGTTTCTCCAATCTTCTCAAAACTCTGGATTATGATAGAGGGCTGTGAGACTTTGACCTGAGTGCAAAAATGGAGGCTCTAGACCCTTCCAGAGCTGAGATATCAAATTCAAAATTTCGACCCGAAAAAAAAACGACAGTGTTACCCCTTTCGTTTTTTTTCGTTTTTGGGCGAAAAATTAAGTTTCTCCAATCTTCTCAAAACTCTGGATTATGATAGAGGGCTGTGAGACTTTGACCTGAGTGCAAAAATGGAGGCTCTAGACCCTTCCAGAGCTGAGATATCAAAATTCAAAATTTCGACCCGAAAAAAAAACGACAGTGTTACCCCTTTCGTTTTTTTTTTTTGGGCGAAAAATTAAGTTTCTCCAATCTTCTCAAAACTCTGGATTATGATAGAGGGCTGTGAGACTTTGACCTGAGTGCAAAAATGGAGGCTCTAGACCCTTCCAGAGCTGAGATATCAAATTCAAAATTTCGACCCGAAAAAAAAACGACAGTGTTACCCCTTTCGTTTTTTTCCATTTTTGGGCGAAAAATTAAGTTTCTCCAATCTTCTCAAAACTCTGGATTATGATAGAGGGCTGTGAGACTTTGACCTGAGTGCAAAAATGGAGGCTCTAGACCCTTCCAGAGCTGAGATATCAAAATTCAAAATTTCGACCCGAAAAAAAAACGACAGTGTTACCCCTTTCGTTTTTTTTTTTTGGGCGAAAAATTACGTTTTTCCAATCTTCTCAAAACTCTGGATTCTGATAGAGGGCTGTGAGACTTAGACCTGAGTGCAAAAATGGATGCTCTAGACCCTTCCAGAGCTGAGATATCGAAACTCAAAATTTCGACCCGAAAAAAAAACGACAGTCCCCTTTCGTTTTTTTTTTTTTTCGGACGAAAAAATAAGTTTCTCCGATCTTCTTGAAACCCTGGATTCTGATAGAGGGCCATGGGACTTAGACCTGAGTGCAAAAATGGAGGCTTTAGACTCTTCCAGATCTGAGAAATTGAGATGTTTATACTGGCATAAATGCTATGTGGGATCTCTATATAGAGTTTTGAGAAGATTCAGGTCTAAGTCTCATGGCCCTCAGCTGGTGCACTTTAGTTAGCTTGGGATGGCTAGCTTCTTTTTCACATGTCACACTGGGAAGGAAAAGGCTTTGCACTGTATTATTCTGTTTCTAGGTAGTGCTGAATTTTTCCTTACAAACAGTGTTTTGTTCTCTATAGGTTGGTGCTGTAGGAATGTATTTGAAGAGTGTTCAGCCTCTACCTCCTCAGACATATTTCAAACACCACTGGAAGAGCCTACCCAGACTTAGCAGCGCTGTCTGACAACTACTGGGTTGTCACTAACCGTGTGCCTGTACCATGGATTTCTGGAACTTCGGTTAGTAAATAATACATTTTATGTTTACAAGTGCAATTGTGATATTACAGGTTTGCTCATATTTATGTGAACAGTGAAAGATTTTATCTAAATTAATAAACAATGAACTATACCTTTTCAAAGGTTTGGGGTCAGCTAGATTTAAAAAATGAAAGAAATTGATACTTTTATTCAGCAAGGATTTACATAAATATTGATCAAAACTTTCTATTCATCAAAGAATCCTAAAAGAATGTATCATGGTTTCCTTTTCAATGTTAAGAAATGATAAGATGTGACAATTAAGACTGTAGTAATGTCTTCTGAAAATTCTGCCATTTTCTAAATGAATTGCATTTCAAATAATATTGTAAAATATTATTACAATTTATCAGTAACCTTCAATAACCAATAATCTCTTCTTTTTTTTACTCTTTTACTGTATTTTTATTTAAATAAATGCAGCCTGGGTGAGCATTAGGTTAAAAAAAAAATGTATGATCCCAAACCTTTGAACAGTAATGTGCAGCAGAACGGCAAGAAAAATGTGCTATGTGAAGTAACTTAAAGGGATAGTTCACTTTGAATTAATTTTTTTTATGTTTTAGCTTACCTTAAGGGCATCCAAGATGTTGGTGTCTTTGTTTCCACAGTAGCCATAGTAGCCGGTAAAACTCTGTTTTGTAATCTGGATATTTTTCCAAGGCATCAACTCCAGTAGTGGGTGGAATTCTCTCCCTAATAAATGACCAGCGCTTCCTAAAGGGCCTTCCTTCCTTAGGATTCATCAACCCTCGCCTTTACAAACTGCAAGGCAAAGGTCTTTATGATGTAAGTTTTGTAAATTGTTTTTTTTATTTTTTATTTTCGCTGACAGTCCTGTCCCCCTGTAGTCAGCTCATCTCAGAACTAAACTCCAAACATGCCCAGATTTACAGTGACAATGAAGTGATGTTTTAAAGTATAGCACTGTCCCACATTCATAATAGAAATGATCATTAAAGGCACTGTAGCACGTTTTTCAAATACAACAAATTGAGCTTATGTAACTAGAGGTTGTCACAGTTAATGCATTTAGTTCCCCTGCTCTAGTAACCATATCCTCTCAGTAAATTGTTGATGTCTTCTCTTCTTCTCTTAGGTGACTGAGGGATGTCATCTGAGTTGTCTGGATGATAAAGTTGAAGGGAAAGGTTTCTGTGCCTCTCCTTCATGGGATCCAGTAACGGGATGGGGAACACCCAATTATCCTGTTCTTCTTTGCAGCGTTCATGGATTGAGCTGCTGCTGTTTTTTTTTATTCAGAGAAACGCACCGATATTAGTTTTTTCATCTACATGACAATACATTGTAAAATCAGATCAAGATTTCATTGCTGTCCGTCATCTAAGAATCATTCTCGCAAAACAAAGTCGTTTCAATGCAAACCGAACCTTTAATTCCTGGTTAATTAACCCAGCCACCCTCCTTCTCCCTGTCCAACAGGTCATATAACTTCAGTTCTTTCAGATGGGGAAGATTTGTCTCAGATGAGTTAAGGATCTGTGGATTCCAGATATAGGACACAACCAAATGTTTAACAAGCCTCTTTGTTTTTAACAAAACACTGTGACAGGAATTTTATTTTATACCGATTGGATTTTAAGTGAAATTTTCCTTAAATGTACATTTCCGCTCTGAATGCCATTCTGTTTTAAAATGCAATTAAAACAGATCATTTTTATGATCCATAAACATTAGGATGTTTCAAGGTTTAGATGTAGAATGTAATGAAACCAGCCTGAATGTGGAACATACTTGAGAGCTGCATAATCCATTGGCCTGTTTGTCTTCTTTTTTTTTTAATGGGTTGATTTCAGTTATTGTAAATGAGGTCCTCAGGGAATTAAATATTGAATAGATTTGTTGTTCTGGAACTATTTGGTCGTTGGAGAGATTGAAACGTTTTTCTACCACATGTCTTGTGCACTAAATGTTGTTGGAGCAACCGGTAAAACCTGTTCTTTTGAAAGAAGCATTGAGTCCAGGATTCCCTCTGAAAGGTACATGAATATTTTCAAGACAATGATGTTGCTTTGCTGAAGTAATACAAATTAAAGGTTTTATTTTGAAATGAACGCTACCTTTGTGTATAAAGTGTTGGATTTAAGTAGATTTAGATGCTATTTAGAGAAAATATAAATTTTTTGAGAAGGAATTGTAATTGCTTGAACTGTATTGGAGCTCACAAAATATACATGAAAAAAAAAACTTATTTAGTGTTAAAAGTGCTGAGATTGTTTTTGACATTGTTAAAAGGCATGAAAACACGAGTTTAAAGGGTTAGTTCACACAAAAATGAACATTCTGTCATGTACTCACCCTCATGTTCCAAATTCAAATTCAAGAGTTCAATTCATCTTCGCAACACAAATTTATGTTTTTAATTACATTTTGAGATTTCTGTCCTTCCATTAACAGTTATGCAACTACCACTTACCACAAAATAATATAAATAATTAAATATATTTACGGTTAGTTATATTTTAGGATCAAAACATAAAACAAGTATATATAAAATAGACTCATTGTCAAATTTTATGTTCACTACTGCTTGTTACTGTTTTCTACTAAAGGCAACAATACTTTCTGACAATTACCATGAAGCAGACCCAATCACATTCAGGCAGTCATTTGTAAAAATAAAACGATTGTAAAAGCAAGGATTGTTCAGCTTTAAATGAGGTTTGATAAACAAGGTTCGGGAGGAGCAGGTGCAGTTAATTCACCCAATCAGCACCAGTGGAGAGCAATCAGTAATCAATCTAGGACAAGATAAATATCAGCAGAACCCACACTTGTTCCTTGACAGTTTATCAGCATCCCACCTTCTCTCTTTTTGTTCCATCTACTCTTACCACGGGGGAGTACTCTGGGTTCGGGCAGAACTCCGAGCTCGGGGACCACACGCCAAGTACGCATAATCTTTATCATAATAATTGTAGATGCAAACTCGTGAACACTTAGTTGAGCGCATTTACCACGCAGCATGATGATGAACTTCAGGCTCTTGACAACAACACAGGGGAGTTTAGCTTTATTCCATATCATCAAATAAATTAGAGAATTCAATGGAAAAGTGTCTTTTCACATACTGAGTAGATTGTTATCGTGTTACAAAAGAAGGCATGTGTATGTAGCAGTACTTCCTGAAGCTGAATAAAACTGTTTTAATTGGTTAAACACAATCTAATCAACATCTCTATCTACATGATTTCAAAACATTTATACATGTCAGGTATACAAAATGAGATACCTGCACAGGATACCTCTCACAAAGAAAAGCTGTATTTACATTGAAAAAAAAGAAAAAAAGAAGCTGAATGCCAACTCATTCTCCTTAAAGAAACGCATTCACAGGTTTTAAGTCTCAGGGACAACACACACGCGCACACACACACATATTATGACAGCTCTACGCTCTAAAAAGTGTACAATATGCACACTTTGAAGACATCTAAAAAGCAGTCCTTGTCTTTGCAAACTGGTAGAAACGGACACGCTGATGGACAATTTGCTTCTTTGGGCTCAGGATAATGAGCATCTTGTATGTGAATGAGGGTCCACAAAAACAATCACATCTTCAAAAGAAGAAACTCTCATAACCGGGAAGTTATTTCATTCAGGTCTATACCATGAGAAGGTTGACGGGATAGTTTGGTATCAGGTCCTCATTCACATTTCATTTCCCATCAAAATGTGCACTGAGATTCTCTTAGAAAAGAATGGTTCTAGAAACGACATACAAAGTGGGTTTTGGAACGGGAAGCTGTTGCCAGACAATGTCTTTAGGGAACTTTCCTCAGCGAGCGATCTCACTGATTGTTCTTAGCTTTCGCGTGTGTCAAAATGTGAGACTTCAGGTTGGTGGACTGAGCAAATTTCTTGTTACAGCCATCAAACGGGCAAACATACGGTCTGTCTCCAGTGTGAATCCGCACGTGTGTGCGCAAGTTAAAGTCCAAAGAGAAGCGCTTTCCACATCCCTCAAAAGTACACTGTGGAGGGAAAGATAAAGCAAGAAGAGCCGGATATTTATTAGTTGGATTTAACATATTTCATTCAGTTCTACACCATTCCGAACTAGGGCTGCAACGATTCGTCGACAAAAATCGATAATAGAAATAGTCGACAATGAATTTCATTGTCAGACGTTTTTTTTTGCGACCGAGGCATCTCTCTTCATTACAACCTCTGCCGAGTCGCACATGGGCATTAGCTTCTCTGCTGAGCGGTAACATACAGAAATGGCGGTGTCCAACGCATCAGCTGCACATACCAAAACATCTAAAGTTTGAGAGCATTTTAGCCTAGATGCGGTGAATAAAAAGATTACCTGTATCATGCAAAGCAGTCCTTGCGTATCACGGCAGCACCTCGGTGATGCACGAACATTTAAAGAGAAAGCACGTCGGACAGTTGAATGAAATTTGAAGTTGAATGAAACAGAGTTTGACTCGCCTGGGTAAGATTTACCGTACTTTCCGCACTATAAGATGAACTTAAAAGCCTTTAAAGGGTTAGTTCACCCAAAAATGAAAATTAAGTCATTAATTACTCACCCCCATGCTGTACCAACCCCGTAAGACCTTCGTTCGTCTTCGGAACACAAATGAAGATATTTTTGATTAAATTTGAGAGCTGTATAACTACCACATTGGCTCCTAAGGGACTGCCTCTTGACGGCCCAGAAAGTCAATGAAGAAAATGTTTAAATATCCCAAGTGACTACCGTGGCTCAACTATATGTTTATCAAGCGACGCGAATACTTTTTGTGCGAAAAAACAAACAAAAATAATGAGTTTATTCGACTATTTCTTTTCTTCCTTGAAGGCCAGAACGAGACTTCCTTAGATTTCCACGACGCATGCGCGAGAATTGCCATCTGAATACACCGCTTACACTACTTCAGATGGCAATTCTCGCGCATGCGTCGTGGAAATTTATAAGGAAGTCTCGTTTTGGCCTACAAGGAAGAAAAGAAATAGTCGAATAAACTCGTTATTTTTGTTTGTTTTTTCGCACAAAAAGTATTCGCGTCGCTTGATAAACATATAGTTGAGCCACGGTAGTCACTTGGGATATTTAAACATTTTCTTCATTGACTTTCTGGGCCGTCAAGAGGCAGTCCCTTAGAAGCCAATGTGGTAGTTATACAGCTCTCAAATTTAATCAAAAATATCTTAATTTGTGTTCCGAAGACGAACGAAGGTCTTACGGGGTTGGTACAGCATGGGGGTGAGTAATTAATGACTTAATTTTCATTTTTGGGTGAACTAACCCTTTAATCTTCTCAAAAAACGACAGTGCGCCTTATAATCCAGAGCGCCTTTTTAATTCGATTACCTTATTAAATTCGCACGTGAACTCGCGCTCGTGTCCATTTTATGCCTGCTTTGTCACACGGCCAGTTCAACCTCGTATAAATCAGGTTATGCGTGTCTCCCGCTCACTCTTAACAGACACACGAACAGACACACTGTCCCCGGCGCTACTCACGCGTCACAGAATGTTCATAAAGCGTTCACAGTGACCGGGTCGTCTCATTCAAAACAGCCAGCTGTTGCGGTCAGCGAGCCGCCGCACATTGAATACTCGCATGAGTCAGGCTGCGTATGTAAATTACGTGCACACCCCAGCACGCTCACAGTAATAAACACCTCACCTCCGGTGCCGCGCACTCGCTACATTCCCAGCACATCTAGTCAGTATCTTATGTGCCTCATAATCCGGTGCGCCCTATATATGAAAAATGTTCTACAATAGGTCATTCATTGAAGGTGCGCCTTAAAGTGCGGAAAATACGGTAACTAACATGGAAGCCAATACGTTTTGTTTTGGATCACGAGTAGAAAAGTTCTTTTGCAACAGATTGACCACTGAATGTATCTCAAAAAATGCACTTAACATTTTTGTTTACTGTTTTATTTCTGCTAATGTGCCTGCCCCTGGTTTACAGGAAGAAAATGTTTTCTTGATTTTAACTTATTTTTTCTTGTAAAACCAATGTGCCCGTCCTTTTATAAAAATTATAGAGTTTCTCTATTTATATATTTATGTCTATACTGACCAAGCACTGTCCCTAATTGGTTTTAGACAGGGCATTTTTATTTACTTTTAGTATGAATCGGCCTATCAGCAGCAAAGTTCAATAAAATATGCATTTCTCATTGAAGTACCCCCTTCTTTCTTGTGTTTACTCAGGGTGGCTACAGGTATAAACCATTTAAATTTAAGACTTTTTAATACCCCTTCTAAATTAAATTTAAGACCAAACTTACGAAGGACATGTAAATTAAAAGTGAAAACATACAGTAATATTTCCAAGTAAACTGACAATAACCAATTGTCAATTGCGAACGTGTGGTCGTCTGTGGAGTACAATGAAGTGAAAAGAAATATAGAAGGCATTTTTATAAATGTCTTAAGCCTTGTATGTTTTAAATAATAAAGTATATTAATAAAGGCTTAGATTTAGTTTTATTAATAAAGGCATAGAACCAGTTTATTTATAGTGTACTGATAATTGTTTCATATAATTAGTTTATTAATTAAACTAATAAATAGATGAAAGACTTTGAGATATGTTTGGCAATTGTATCTTTTAAATAGTAAATTAAAATTAGTTTGCTATATTTCAGATCAATATATTTGTATTCCTTGATTTTAATTAACCCTAACTTTATTCTCATTATAAGAATGATAAATATTTGATTTCCGTATAAAATTATACTACAAACACTTAAAAATAAATAGATTAGTGCCCTGTTTTGAGGACAAGAAAACCAATGCGATATGTTGAATTTTCAAAAGATGGAACTCTGTAATGGCCACCTAGTGTTCAGTAGTGTTCATGACATGTTGACTTTAAGATGACGACGTTGTTATGCGAGTGAGAGTGAGAATTGAGAATTCTTGCGCAAAGAGGAAGATGACCGATCTATCGGGGGATTATCACGCTGATACGTAGTACTTCCGGATTCTGTGATCTTTGTGCACTGCCACTTCCATTGAATAACCGATCTCGCTGGCGAACTGATGAAGGACTACACTAAGTTTATTTATACGGCATCCCTGGTAAATTAATCTGATTCACTAAAGTGCCGGCTGCAAACAAACGTGCTAACGTTACCTTGTTTTATTTTAAAGTTTTAATCCAGTTCTTCCTTATACTCAATTCAGTCGGGAATCCATGAAAACTTAAGTAGGGTTGGCGTTGTTGGTTAGATTTACAAAGTGGGACAGAGCAGTGACATATACAGCATTCGTCTCAGGCATTGTTGAACTGCGTCGGAAGTGGACATGCACAAAGTTGACAAATCCCGCCCATGAAACCCGGAAGCGTGATAATCCCCTATTATAGACCATTTCACAAGATGTAAACAACACTGGTCCAGAAGCACTTCCTGTTTCAGTTTTTTAACACTACATAAAAGTTGGGATAAAATACAACCAACAGAACATTTAAAACTGAATCAAAAAGTTAAACAAACATCTTTAAGATGTTTTCTTTACATGTGAAATAAAGAAAACAGTTACAAACTGAAACAGGAAGTGCTTCTGGACCAGTGTTGTTTACATCTTGTGAAATGGTCTATAATGCGTTTACTTCCACTTTGATTTGTAGCGTTTTACAGAGTGTTTTCTTTAACCTGTTAACAACCGCTCTTTCGACATGTAGAAGAGTGTGCTTTAATGAAAGAAAGCAACTATAAAAGGTCTCGTGGAACTACCAGTTCGTTTGCACTGTCTTTCCTATTTTTCATCTGGGCAGACTTCAAACTCTGACAGATGTAACAACACATAGACTGTTTTAAACAGGGGTGAATGAATATTTTTTGCTTTTAAAACTGTGTTTTAATGCGAGTATAGGCCTACACAAATATAAGTAAACACTTTGCAGACAATGTTTTTATGTCTCCTCCACTGTTCGATCGTGGCTATCAACCATTGCTATATTACCTGTAGCGAAATTATGAATCCCACCATGCCCACGCCAAGACGCGCCCACGAAGCAGCTTGATTGGTTAAGGTTAGGTTAGCCGATTGGTTAGTTGATACTGATATGTCATATGTTACGTTACCTTGAAGAAAATATTCGACCTGACTGGCAGAACGATGGCATGCATCTTTGCGGTGACATGACAAACATATTTAAGACCTATCCAATCTGAATTTAAGACAATTTAATACTTAAGGCCTTATTTTTAGGAAAATTGATTTAAGACTTTTTAATACTTTTTAATGACCCGCCGCCACCCTGTTACTATCATTTTCCACAGAATTAAAGCAATCTCATGCTAAATTTTAGAAAAATGTAATAATTATCCGATTAGTCGACTAATCGTTTCAATAGTCGGTGACTAGTCGACTATTAAAATAGTCGTTAGTTGCAGCCCTATTCTGAACAGCATTAGCCTTTTTTTTTTGTAATCTTACCTGGAAAGGTTTTTCACCAGTATGAACCAACTGATGTCGTTTTAGCTTGGAACTTTCCACAAACGCCTTCCCACATTCAGCGCAGACATGAACCCGTGGCCCATGGGTGTGCAAGTGCTTTCTCATAGCGGAGTTGTCCCGAAACATTTTTGTGCAACCCTATGACAAAGACAATGATAAATAACTAAACTCCTAAAAAAATCTGGAAAAGATGATAAAAGTACAAAATGAAATCATCAATATATATTAAACAGTTATCCCCCATCTTGATGTTGAAGCACAATATCCTAAATCAGCACTTCTGTTACCGAAATGTAACAATTCTCATAAATGCTAAAAACAGGCACTCACTTTGTGGGGGCATGCTATCGTTCTTGGAGAGTCGTCTTCTTTTATTTTCCTGGGCTTCATTCTGTAAAGTGAAAAATATTAAGGATAAGACACATTTGTGAGTGTGCAGTTTAATACACAAGTCAAAACAAAAACTAAAAGGCAGCTGTGACTATATTATATTTTTTTTTTAAATCCAAAAAAAAAAAAAAAAATGGACTGGCTTTAGAAATTAAACTTGTGGTGATGGTTTTTTGTTTTTGTTTTTTTTCTTCCCCTTCAAAATACTACATAAAATGGATCTGTTTAAAAAATCTGCAAAAATAAATTCTCTCATGCATAATGATGATTGACGAGGACTGAATGATATGTTTGGAACTGAAGACCCACCTTGCAAACTCTGCCAGTTGCTTGGGGTCTGACAGGTCGATTCCAGGTATGCCACCAGGTGGCAGTTTTTTGCCTGTCATATACTCGGAGTAATCGGGAGGAGAGTTTTCCCCAATGATCTGCTCCTCCACCACGGTCTCATGATGATCGACATCTTTCTTATCATCTGTGCAAAACACAAGATTAAACGTTTAGCTAAGTACTTAATCAAATCACACACCCTGTATTCATAATTAAAGCGTTATAGGAAAAAAGTAAATGAGTTGAAGACAGTCAACACCCAAGTCATAAGTGATTCATCTTCAGGGTAAAACAAAGTATCTCTTCATTGTCTCCGAGAACCGATGCATCAGCATTTAATATGCTGATGCGATTACGGGCACTTAAGTATTTCCGCATCCAAATATGATCATTGTAAGAGTTAAAAAATGCAATGAAGTGCGCGTTTTATCTCTTTTTCTCTAATAAAACAGAGTAGACGCGTGAAGCGCAGCGCAGTCTGAGGTGGTTCACAGAACACTCGTGAACATATAAACAAGACTTAAACCTGCACCCCATGCTCTTTTTCTTTATTCAAATATTTAAGTACTAAACATTTTTGATCATTACAGAGTCAGACCAGACGCCACTAAAACTACGCACGATAGTGGGAAACTAAAGAAACAAATGCACACCAACAATAACGAATATTGCTCATTTTCAGCATAATAAAACTGCTGAACTCCAGAACAAATGGAGTAGTTTCTTCATTATTTAAAAAAAAAAACAATTTTATTAAAACATTTCAAATTCAAAGAGATTAAAATACATTTTCGGAATTTAACTTTCTTAACCACTGTCGTTAACCACAATTGCAATCGTCAGTCAAGATAACAAAATCGCAACAGCTACAAATACTTCTGTATTCTTCCAACTAAGTTACACAATTTGCTTTCCACCATAAATATTTTAATATGTAATACTAATAATAAATACTCGCAATATTTTAAACACAAAATGTGCAAAAATGCATCTGTCAGGTGTGTAACGTTCAAACGCTGATCACTAAATTATCTCTCCACGTTAAATAAACTTCTCAACGTATCTGAATTGGTCAGTTACAAGATTTAAATACGCGGTAACATTTGTTTACCGAGAGAATGAAGCGCCGTGAGACAGATATTTTGCAGACAAGCAGCAGATCGTGTGACAAGATCCCTCCCCTTCTTCAAAATGAGCTGCGCCATTGCGGCCTGCAGCAGCGCGGCGGACTCACAGCGCCTCTCTCCGCTCCCGCCGCCATCTTTCCCCGCTCACACAACCGCCATGTTTCGGGGCCGCCATAATGGTCTGGAGGAATATGGCGGCGCCCATCCACACTTAAAACATGGCTTCCCATCAAAACAAAAACATTTAGACCTGGGCCATCCTTACAAATAGCTTTTTCGGTCTGAAAATCATTTCTGGCACTTAACTACCCGGCAGCTTTATAACGGGCTCGACAGGAAGAGGGCCCACACGAGGCCTGCGCGAGAACAAAGCACTTGATGCGATGTCAAAACTTACCCGATGCCCACATAGTGACGGAAAACTCCCCCTCCAGTGTTTTGATTTGTACTTGCTTCTGCTCCCATTTGCGTCCGCTCGCCTCGGCGGAGTTGAGGAAGCTCTTTTTGACCATTCTTTTCCCACTGCCTCCCCCTTTCTTCATCCTACCCGACGGGTTCTTGCCAGACACGGTCACTAAAGTCTGCTCGATATATTCCTCCTCTGCCACCGGAACAGGGACGGGAATGAGGATCTGGTCCTCGAAGCTGTCGTCTGCGTGGAGGTCTGAATCATCGCAGCCCACGACCTCCTCGCGAGTTTGGACCAAAATCACCTCCTGATGGTTGACGTGGTTCGGATCGTCAAGAGGCTGCAGAGCGATCATCGGCTGGTGCTCCTCGTCGTCGTCGTCGTCGTCTCCACCGACCACTGTAGTCTCGATGGTCTCAACTTCGATTTCGTGCAGCTCGACGATCTCGGCCGGCATCTCCGAGCCGTCAGTTTCAATGTACAGTGTCTCACCCGACGCCATTCTTGCTCTCCGAACTGATTTCAAGCAAGCCCTGTGTCAAGTCAACGACCCGCTCTCCCCCTCCTTCCTTCTCCACTAACAAACAGGCAAAACTCCGTCCCACATTGACTGACTCCGTTCACGGACTGTGCCTGAGGATCAGACAAGCGAAATCTCGCGAGATCTTCCTCTTCGTTTGACCTCATTCTCACCACTAACACTAAACATTTGAAAATTATCCACGAGCGAGTTTTTAAATCTTCATTGATGCATCGTTTAGAGAAAAGTTGATAACCTGCATATCAAAAACTTTATCATTGGAAACGTTTCTTTTCATAAAGTGAAACTATAGATTTAGGCTACTACAACTAGGTGGAAGAGATAGGCTATAGCTACTAAGTTGCACATAGGCCAATTCTTTTTATACACACAACGAAATGGTCTGGATTCTGGAATACAAAATATTTTCTTTTTTTTATATGACTTAGTTTAAACAATATAATGTTTTGTATGTGGTGTAATGTAAAAGAAAAAAAAATGTGATGAGAGCATGTAATGTTATTATTAGGAATTACTTGTGATTTGGTATTTTTTTTCTATTTTTGTTTTATATTCTGGGACCTTTTTATTTTATGTTTTATTTCTATATTTGCTGACATTATAGAATCCGTTATACTTTGTAAAATGTAATTCATAATGCAAGTGTTTAGCCCGTATGTATTTCGGGGGGTTTTTTGTCTTCTTTTTTTCTTTTTCATTTCTCTTATTAGGCCTTATAATACATTACATGACACAAATATCAATAAAATTGTCTGTTATCCTCATGAGAACCAAGAACGTTTTGTGAATTTTAAGACTCACAAAAAATATATATATATTTACCATTAAATTTACATGAATTGGCAAAAACATATTTTTTTTCATTAACCTTTTACCAAACTTTGTATAAAGATTATCTCAACTATGTTATGAAAGATACTGGAAGTAATAGATACTTCTTTTTACCTTATGCAATATATGGGTAAAATGGCCATTATAATATAATAAAATATTATAATTATTATTAATGTCTTAGTCGTATTGAAATATTCTTTCTATTCGTGTCATAGGTTATGTGTGTGCGTATGCATGTACCCAGAGCTCCTGGGGGGAAAAAACAAACAAATTCCTTTTGTGTTTGCTCACACTTGCCTAATAAAGCTCATTCTGATTCTGATAAACGGGTAGTCCCATGAAATACATTGTCTAATTTGCATATTAATGTGTTAGGGCAGCATATCTATAAAAAAGAGGAGTAGTAATGGGAGTAATATTAGCAAACAATTTGAAAATTTTTCAGATTTATATGATAATCACAAAATATTATATTTCCATAAGAGTGCTGAATATGATCACTAAATTAATGTCAATCGTAAAGACCAAGGAGAGGGAGTTGTCATGTTGAAACCTCTAAACATTTGGAATCTCTGTGCCCAATCCAGTAGATCCAGACTGAGACAAGATATAACCATGGATATAACATTTACTACAGTGGACAAAAGTGGATCCTGGGTCCCAGGAGGCTGTTAAATAATCCTTAGGCTATTTGAAGGAATAATCAAACAAATAACGCCCCCTCGCGGAAAGGTGACGTAAACCTGTCTAGACCAGAAATACAGGACTGTGTGTCTGTGACACTGACATCTGCTTAAGTATATTATAAAGAAGAAGGGGGAAAAAAAACCCACTTCACTATAGGCCTACATTACGTATATTGTCGCTCGTAGGATTACATTTTTAATCACATTGCCAAACATTTCACAGACAAGGGTTTTGCATCTGTGGCTAAATGTAATTTTCCAATTGGGACGAGGCAATTTGTAGGCTACATGGGCTACTGTAGTCAACGATCTCGTTACTTTGTTAGGGTTTCGGTTGAAGTTAGTTACCGTTGACATGAACTCTCAGGCACACCTCTACTCCTCTTATCTAAGAGGGCGTGTGCGAAACAAGTATAGTAAGCGAAGAATCACCTGAGCTCATTACACCACCGGCACACAAGTGTGAAAATGGGGAAAGCAGTTGGACGCTGGGACTTTGAATGGGTTTATAATGAGCAACCGCACACATGGAGAAGAAAAGAAATTTTAGGTAAGCGTAAATCAAATGACTGGAATATCGTTACGTCAGCTGAATTCGTTAAAACACGCTGGTGAAGTCATGATTTTGAATATCCGATTGACTTGAGTTTAGATTAAATGTCTAAATAACCATTTGGGAGCGTGTTAAATTTTGTTATTCTGCTGTAGTAGCATATTAGTGTTAGCAAACATATAGGCTAGATATATAGGCTAGTTCAAATGAAGCACTTTATCTCATCATGAGTGCCATGGCATAACTCAAATAACTGATTATTGAGGAATTTGGACAATTAAGATGACGTTTTAATTCTGATACTATAATTTCATTTTAAAAAGTAGCCTATATTAAATATAGTTGGCCTACCCAATATGAAAACATGCTGGTGAGCGAGCGTGGGTTTTAGATGTGTGAAGAGGGAGGGTAATCTCAATTTTTTTTTTCTATACTCTGTCGTCGTATATATTATGTATCCAAAATATAAACTCAATTACTTATAATTGAAATCAAGCGCACTTTGCCACATCTTTAGTATAATGTGGTTAGGGTACACACTGCTGTAGACAGGTGACACACACAGATGATGTGTTCCTGGATCACATCTACCAGACAATGGCTTTAGGGGATAGTAATTTGAGTAAACCGATTCAAGGCATTATTGGCACAATATCAATGGGTCTTGCTTGGTAACAACATTCTAGTCTTATGGCCATAACAGTGAAGATAATGTCACAAGCTCAGTTCCCCTATAAAACACATTTATGAACAGCTTGGAGATTTCACTACAAAAAAATGACATGATATAAGTCCAGAGAATTTTTTTTCTTTTTTTTTCCACAGAAATGTGGAATTAAAAAGTGTATGCTATTTTGACAGATCTAATTGAACTGTAAGAACTTACCCTTTACTGCAATTCTCCATCAATACCCCCCCAAAACACGCCTTGATATTGACTGATATTGTGAAGTCGCACGAGTTTTACACCTCAAGCTCTTTAATGTGTATTCTTCTATCATCTTTAGACTATTTCAGAAGGCATAATGAGCCTGACTACAAACTTAGGCATATAAATATTTGATATTTTTTGAGTAACAGAAAAACTTAGTGTTAAACATGTTTGGTGTCAATGCAATCCAAATCACTTATCACAATTATTATTGTTTTGCTAAAAGACCAATCCTTTACACCAATACATCACCTTGGATTTTTTTTTAAGCACCTGGCAGTTGAGTTTGTGGTACTTTTATTTACACGCTTTATTGCATTTGGCTACTCCTTACATGGATGAACTTGCCCAATGTTCAGATGGAGGTTGTATTACATAGGCTTACTTTAAATATGACAAGCTGAACCTGTTTTTTGTGTTTATGTGACAGTAAGACACGACAGGTGTGATCTTGATCTAGAAGGGTAGGGAAAAGTGCATCCATGAAACCGCATGTGTTCAGACTCCAGCCACAGGTGCTTGTTTTGTGAGTGCCATTTGTTTGCCATATGTAAAATGTAAAGAAAACACATACCCAGATGATTTATCATATGGAACCGAAACCATTTTTGTTTTTCACTGAGGGTCTCATTTTCACTGATTGTGTCAGTATTAGCCTAGATGAAAAAACAAAATATGATTAATATGTTAGCATTCACAAGCATAAACCATTAGAGAACCTAGCAATATGGACCATTTGCAGTCAGATATTATGCAAATTGCATGAAGAAAAAGTGTTAAGACAGATTTGCATTCAGGTCGCATGTTATTGGTGAAAGTGGTCACTTTGACATGGATATTTGTGGAACTGCTTTAAAGAGATCCTGAAGCAGTGGATGATAAACAGAACATTAGCAGGGCAAACAAATCCACTAATTAAAAAGCACACTGTTAGGGGAGCTTCTCCCATGTGGGGAGAATTAGTTAGCTATTGGTTGACTACATAGTGCTTGAACATGCATAATTGGGTTACCACTGGCAACTGTAATAAAGTTGTCATCATTTTTGCAAAGCTAAGTATAAATAGCATGCACTTTTTATTTGTTAAAAATAATCTGATTCAAGTGTGATGCAAGCATAATTATTTTGAGTGTTCATTTAATGAGGCTTAATTTAAGTAAAATCTTTTTTTAATGGAAGTACAACACATCCTGAACCTGAATAAGACTTCAATAAAGATCTATAATTATCCCGTAACAAGAAACACATTCAATGAGCTCAAGCAACAGTTTATAGGGTTTAAAATCAGTCTTTTGAAGTTTTTTTTTAGATGTCAATATAGGAACTATAATGGAAAAGGTTTTTACTTGTGATTTTTTTGATTCCCCACCACTTGGATCAAATGAGGAACTGGTAGTTTTGTCTCTCATATCACTCTGGGTTCTCTTTCTGCTCGCATTATAAAACAAGTTGGCATTTTTTTTAAATATTATTTTATATATGCATGTGTAAAATTTGTGTGTGTGTGTATATATATATATGTGTGTGTGTGCACATGCGTGTATATAATTAAAAATAATGATCAAAAAGTTTTTTTTTCTTTTCAAATTAATAATTATTTCATATTCTTGACATTGTACTCACTCTACAGCAAAGTATCCTGAAATCAAGTCTTTGATGGGTCACGACCCCCAGCTGAAGTGGGTCGTGTCAGGGATGGTGCTCACCCAGCTGCTGGCATGTTACATGGTCCACGAGCTCTCCTGGAAGTGGGTGTTGTTTTGGGCGTATGCGTTCGGTGGCTGCATCAACCACTCTCTGACCCTAGCCATCCATGACATTTCACACAACGTGGCCTTTGGCACTAAAAAGGCTCGCTGGAACCGCTGGTTTGCCATGTTCGCCAATCTCCCCATTGGCTTGCCTTATTCGGCATCCTTCAAGAAGTACCACATCGACCACCACCGTTACCTGGGAGGAGATGGCTTGGACGTGGATATTCCGACCGACCTCGAGGGCTGGTTCTTCTGCACCCCATCCAGGAAGGTGCTCTGGCTCTTTCTCCAGCCTTTGTTCTACGCGCTCCGTCCGTTGATCGTGAACCCCAAGCCCGTGACCAGGTTGGAGATGCTGAACGCAGTCGTGCAGTTTGTGGTAGACATTATCATCTACTATTTTTGGGGACTCAAGCCTATAGTCTATCTAATTGCTGGCTCTATACTGTGCATGGGCCTGCATCCCATCTCTGGACATTTCATTGCTGAGCACTACATGTTTATGAAAGGTCATGAAACCTACTCTTATTACGGCCCTCTCAACTTAATAACCTTCAATGTGGGATACCATATGGAGCACCATGACTTCCCCAGCATTCCTGGCAGCAAATTACCTGAGGTACGAGTTTGGCTGTATTCCATTGTTTTTAGGGATGCACAATATCAAAATCAAATAAAAGTCGCTTTTACACACTACAAATAGTTCACTTTTAAAAAAAACTTTTGCTGATAATTTACTCACCCCCATGTCATCCAAGATGTCCATGTCTTTCTTTCTTCAGTCGAAAAGAAATTAAGGTTTTTGATGAAAACATTCCAGGATTTTTCTCCATATAATGGGCTTCAATGGGAACCAAACGGTTCAAGGTCCAAAAGACAGTTTCACTGAAAACTGTTCAAAGGGCTTTAAACGATTTCAGACGATGAATAAGGGTCTTATCAAGCGAAACGATCGCTCATTAAAAAAAAAAAAAAAGTTTAAGTGGTCGCCTTGTTCTGTTCTGTGATGCGCGTTCGTGACTCGTTTATCAAAATATAAAAACTTATAAAACGTAAACTTTTTTTTTTAAAAGAGCGATCGTTTCGCTTGATAAGACCCTTATTCATCGCCTGAAATCGTTTCAAGCCAAGAAATTAGCAATTAACAATTCAATATCAAATACCTGCTTATACAATGAAACAGAAAACATGGCAGTTTACAGTTGCTGCCTTGGTTTTCCTCACTCGAGTCATACAACAGACTCTTTATCTATAAGTTCATAGGTGTGGTCCACTATGACAATAAGCTGCCATTACCAGAAGGAGACCAGATTTTTAATTCTAAGTACGTTTACTTTTCAGAGTACTGCTCAAGTGGAAATGTAATGGTAATGTAATGCTTTGTATTGATTTTGTCACTGTTACTGATTAAGAGAAAGAATGTGACATTTGGTGCTGTGAGACTAACTAGAAAGACAGACAAATATTTGATGAACTCCTTTTCAGGCTTCATCAGTGTCCATATGACAATTTAATTTCGCCCATAGCTTACAGACAGCACACTTTCAGTGAAAAAGAACCCAAAGTCTGTAAACCAATTGCTTAAGCAGTACATTGTGTCTGTTAATGTTTAAACCGTTAAGTATGATAGAACTACATACAGGAAACCAGCACTCCACCTACGCTTTACACTCTAGCTGCAATATCCTTCATTCACATTGTCATTTAAAACATAAATAGAAATTTCATAAGTAATATTTATGATTTATTTATGGATCTTTCTCATTTTACAGGTCAAGAGGATTGCAGCGGAGTACTATGACTCTCTCCCTCAACACACCTCATGGATGCGAGTGCTCTGGGACTTTGTGTTCGATGACACCATCGGGCCCTACGCCAGAATCAAGAGACAATACAAACTTGGCAAAAAGGAATAAATTTGGTACTACTGATCAAACCAAACGTACTACAATGTATTTATAAAAAAAAGTTCTGCACAAATTGGCAAATGAAAGATAATTGGCACTCGCCTGGTTATTAGTTCAACGGGACGAACCTTTTCACACATGAAATGACAAACTTCTTCATTCTGTTACAGCATTTCATCAGATCCATCTGAACAATATCCAAACTAAAACTTCACATTCCCTGCACCTGGGACCATGTTCAATTATTAAGATTATCAAAGCCCAGTTGACCTTCTCAATTTCCATATATTCATTCCTTCCAAAGATGTGAAACTTTGTTTGAATATTGTTCTTATGGTATACATGTAACAAAATGAATGCATTAGTTTGTGCATCATTGCCAATACTCACTCTCTATCCAACTACTGAGATGCCAGTTAAGATGTACCTGAGGAAAGAAGAGCTGAGATGAAATGTTTAAGCAGACTTTAAATTCTTTTTCATCAGTGACGCCTTTATGAAAACCAAATATATCGTGTTGTGTAACTTAAGTCTTTAAATAATATAGTTTCATGAGTTCTGTCTTTTGCACTGACAGTTTAATTCTGAACACCACTGTGATAGATATGTAATATATGGAATATATTTGTTCAGCACACTGTTCAATAAATTTCTCTTATATATCATATGAATCGAACAGATTTTGCAAGGTGGTTGTTGAATATTCAATGAAAATGCAAGATATTTTTTTTAAATAAAAGCACAGGACAAGGCTTTTTAAAAGGGGGAAAAGCTTTTAAAGTTCTTTTAATTCCATCAATCTCTCACTCTCACCATGTGAATAATTTAATTGTAATTTTTGTGAAATCAACATCAACTTTTAAAATCAGGATCAACCTAATTAAACCAGGATACATTGTACGATCAAACAATTCTTCCAATAATTCATCTCACATTGTTTATATATATATATATACACATGTATATTTTTCCATGTCCGTCTCGTGAGCTCATTGAAAGAGTGTCAATATTTAACCTCATATCTTCAAATGAATTTAAAACAAAATTCTAGTGAACTTCTGGGACCTCGTTTATAAAATGTTGCGTAGAAACCATCCTACATTTGATCTTACCATAATTTCTCAAATGTGCGTTGTTGTGATTCAGAGAAATGAACGTGCGTACGCCTATCTTCCAGATGTGAAATCTATAAATCGAAAAAAATGATCTTGAAATTGTGAGCAGCTGAATAGCTGGATTTTAGCATACGCACACTTTAAACTCTGCGCATACACACCTTTTATAAATGAGGCTCCAGCATTGGCCAAAAAAAAAAACAACCAAAATATCCCAGACTGTTTTAACTATAGTAGTTTTCTGACAGTTTACTAGCACAAATGTGCACACTTTATACTTATTAAACCCAATGATTAAGAGCAGTAATATAAAATATAAAAGGTTGACAATAACTGTCGTGCAACTTTGTATCTCTCTCATTTAATATAATACAATTCTTAACAATAATAACAATGACCGATGAAACAATATAAACTTAGAAAACAAAAAAAAATATCTTCATTAATTTCCAACATGTTGACTTTAAGACTTGAAAGAGCGAGAGCAGCAAGCTGCACAGTGGATGTCTCAACGATCATACTGGAGGAAATAGAAAATTCAGTGTGAAGGTCTGTATTTCCATCTGTCCGTTCATTCGCTCATCCATACACACTCATTCACTCACTCTTCTGTTCCTCAGCTTTCCCTTGTCCTTCTCAGTAATTCCTTGTTTCTACACAACATTTCTGCAAATGAATTTTCCGTACCATTGCAGACATGCTGCGAGAAGGTTTTCAAGTGCGCGTTCCTGTTCTTCCCCGAACCTTCAGTCGTTATCAGTCGTCCTCATTGACATTTCATAAGACTATGTGGAGCCAATTCTCAGCAGTTCCCTTCTAATGGCTAAAAGAAAGACAGGAAAAATGTAAATATTCTGCAAAACTGGAAAGATATGTACATGTTTGTTTTAAATGATTCTCTCCCCAAAACATACCATCAATGATTTCTTCTTTTACTTTCTGCAATTCCCGCACAACCTCCTCCAAGATCTCCTTTTGAACACAACAGATTTTGTAATAGTTAGCAGACCAGTCCGTCCTCATTTTTTTCGCAATAATAATAATCCATTTTGAATGATAGTTTGAACTAACCTGTTTCATTCTGTCAAAGTCAAATGACTCGGCATCACTGCTGCTTCCGATTGGTTTCGCCCTTTAAAATATTCATCATAATTATTTAAATCCAATTTGAATGATCAAAAATGTACCGGCAAGTCATATTTGCTGTAAAAAAAAAAAATCTAGATGTATTAAATATTAAGATGGCTTTCTGATGTAATCTCAGTTTTTATGAAGGATTCAAAGAAGACATTTTCTGTGTGTTTACACAAGCATTCAGTGCAAGCTTACAAAACATAAAACCTACATTTTGCAGTTGTCAGAAAGCGAGTAGAATCAGCATTTGCATTTTGGTCATTGCAAGCTCATGGTGCCCTTTGCTTTACTTCCTTAACATGACCATTTGTATTGACAACCGAGGCATTTACTCACGTATGCAAACCCTAGGCTTGACAAAATCATTCATTTCCCTGTTCTGGTGCAATCCGTTGTGGAATGCCTTCATAAATGTACGTTTTAAAAGGAACCGAATGTTGTAAAATGACAAGAAACATTTCAAGTCAGGAGATAAAGAACTCACGGTGGAAAATGTAATGTTTACTGCACCATAAACCTGTTCAAACATACCTTGTCACAGCTGAAGACTTGTCTACAGAGTTTGCCCGTTCCCATGGCTTCTTCACTGGATCTAAGAGGAACATTTAAATAATGGATGATTCTTCTGCTCACCAAACCTCAATACGCATCATAATTTAACATAAAACATTTTTAATTCAATTAATCATTTTAAAAGTTTAAAAATTCACTGTCTTCAGATCAAAACAGGCAAAGAAGCAGCAGAAATAAACAATATCATAAGCATATGTAAAGAACGCAATCACCGACATTTAACACTATTTAAATAAAATTAGCTTTTTGCTCAAAATGTGGATTTTTAATTAAACACATTTTGATAAAAAAGTAATGCATAAAGCTAGATTTTTTTTAATTTATTTTTAAAGCAGAGGGTCTGTTCTTTCTTTTGACATATTGCATGGTCAGACATATTCATACAACAAAATATTCTGGGGGCCATGACATTTTTTATAAAAAAAAAAAAATACTGGCGGGTTGCTGGCAATTTTTTTTCAAAAATGCTTGCGGGTTAAATTAGAAATATTATTTTAAATTGTAATATTTTAAAATATGACTGTATTTATTGTATCTTTGATTACAAAAAAACAGCAGTGGTGGCATGATATCTTTAAAAAAAAAAAAAATCTTACTGATCACAAACTTTTGAACGCTATTACTAAATTAACAAAAAAAAAAAAAAAAAAAGAAACACCACCTGAATTTTGTCCACGGGAGGAAGGCGATCCATTAGACTCCTCCTGCAAGAAAGAGATATCAGTCTGATGTGATGTAAGAATAATCACAGAATAATAATAGAATTATACAATAAGTGTGTGTTAAAATGAATAGTGTACAAAAATCATACATTTTGACTTTCTTCTGGTTTCTCGGAGGCCTTCCTCCTACAGAATGACCATATTTAACATATTTATTCAAAGTTTGCATTACCACAAGTCATGAATCATTAGTTATGAAAAAGAGACAGGAAATGGATGTGGTCTGACCTCCGTGCTAAAAGAGCATTCATCTCCTGCATGAGACCCTCTCCACCTCCGCCACTGCCCCCACTGGACCGATTGGCATCGTTCTTGCAACTGTTGTCCTCCGGCTACGGAAGATAAAACATGGAATAATCAGGCACCAAGATACCCTTATCATCATACTTATTGCATTAAAAAATAAGAAATATGTGAAACATGTTGAGGTCTGGGAGAGTTTGGGAAAGATATGTGCCACGCACCCGCTGAACTTTACGCAGCTTGGCACCAGCTATAGCTGCAGCCAGGCCCGCCGGAGCAGGACCTCCACCAGCCGGCAGTGGAGGTGGGCTAGGAGGGGGTCCTGTGGCAGGTGGGGGCGGCCCGGGTGGGGGAGGCCCAGGAGGGGGCGGAGGGGCCGGTGGACCCGCCATGGATGCTGAGGTAGGGGGGTGAATGGGAGGAGTGGATAAGACCATGGAGGGATGTCCTGGTGGGACGGGAGGACCTGTTGGAAGAAAGGAAAGAATCACTGTTGTATTCTAGACTGAGTTCTTAAGTGCATATTCATATTCATTGCAATGAAATAGACAGCAATGGTGAACATACGTGTTCACTTAATTGTGAAGTGTTTACATTTGGATCACTAGCATTTGCAAACAGGTTTCTGGTTCTCGTCATCTGGTATAGGTCAGAAACACAGATAGCCCCACCCCAAACTCGCACCATTAGCTGAGTCACTGTGTCGGCGGACACTCCGACAAACACTGCATATGTTTGGATAGCAACACAGTGTTTTACAGTTTTCAGGGAAATATACCTACATATGGACTGAGCAGTATTTTTTTTTTCTTTCTGCTGGCTTAGTCGGGCTGGTGCTTTCAATTTATTACTCAGGCCAGTACATCCAAAACAATGGCAAATTTTTATTTTTAGCTACAAACATTTGTCATTAAATGACGTGTTTCTTAAACATACACTGCTGTTCCAAAGTGAGGCACCATTAAGATTTTTTTTTGTTGTTGTTGAAAGAAATGAATACCTTTTTTCAGCAAGGATGCTTTAAGTTCTTTTGAACTTTCTATTAATAAAAGAATCTTGGATTTGTCATAAGAAAAATGACAGTTTCCACAGAAATACTAACCAGCACAACTGTTTTCAACATTGATAATAATAAGAAATATTTCTTTAGCATCAAAACAGCATATTAGAATCATTTCTGAAGGATCATGTGACACTGAAGACTGGAGTAATAGCTTCTGAATTTTTTTAAAATATATAACATTTGTAATATTTCACAACATTACTTTATGTAACCGTGTTTTTGATTAAATAAATGCATTAGTACGCATAAGAGATTTCTTTTAAAAAACTTCTTCTTTTAAAAAAATCTTACCGACTACCAACTTTTGAATGGTTGAATATGGTTACCATACAAAAAACATAAAACACACTGCTAAAAAACAATGATATTCAATACAGTTCTGATTGGTTTGTAGTTTTCAATTAATTTCTTCCAGGGAATTTTTGCAAATTTGACAAAACCTCATTCAGCCAGATAGATAACATACCTTGGTGACAGATCAGCAGAATTTGAATAATAATACATCAGAGAAAACTAAGCATTTAAATTTCCAAAGTGCAATTTACATTCAGTGGAGCAAAAGAAAGAATCTGTCAAGTGGCCCAATACTCTCTAACGCCCTGGGTCAGCAGGCTATATCCACATTGTCACCACACATTTTACATTCATGATCTGCAAAGTGCAAAAGCTCTCAGAAAAAAATTGGAGAAAAAAGGGAACATAATGTTAGTTTAAAGTGTGACGCATGGCATTAACAATACAAATAAATCACCTTTGAGCAAACACAGATGAACATTACTGATGTATATGTTTACTTTAAAATCTTAAATTCTACTTCCTCTATTCAGAACAACGAAGGTGAGGCAGCTGCCGTTTGTTCAAATGATCTGCTGTCTGTGATTTTTGTCGTATAACACAAATACAAAAGCCAACCGCCTTATTGACAATGCTGACGTGCCGGTATTTGCATATGGTTTCAGTACAAAGACTGTTCTGTTCTCATTGGATCAGCATGTCATCAGCCCAATTCCACTGGACAGGTGTGTGAAGTCTTTTTGTGGTGGGCAAATAATTACGAAGGGGGCAGCTGATGGGTGTCTGAAATACTTACTGCTGGACGCTGTGGCGTTCTGATAAACAGGCGAAGGAGACGTCTTGTGAGAGGTGGGTGTGGTGTCGAATGGGACTGTGGCCTGGTATAGCTGCTGCGGGTAGAGGGCGGGGCCTTGGGTGGGCTGGCCAATGAGAGGGGGCAGGGGGCAGGACAATTCTTGGATGGGATAGTGAGGGTTCAGTGGTGCTCCGGAGGTGACCTGCAAAGTAGGGTTTTGGTATGGGTAGCACTCCTCTCCCTTGC